GGGTGAGAGAGAGATAGAGAAAAAAAAAGAGTAAAAGAGAGAGAGAGAGAGAGAGAGAGAGAGAGAGAGAGAGAGAGAGAGAGAGAGAGAGTTTGCTGGGGTTGGGGAAGGGTTTGTGAAAAAAAAAAAAAACTAAGATACCTGGATGTAAATGTGTAAAGAACAATGGGTCAGCTAAAAGAACATCAAAGAAAGATTTAAGATGCAAGAGGAATTAACATTTCTAAATGTAGGCTAGAAAGTAAAAACTGCATAGAGAAGATGAAAATAACTTTTTTTCTGGAGTCTGTCATCATACCCTTTACACTGTAGAAACACACAATGCTATATATACACAATAGGAATTAATGAAACTATCCCTCAGGTGAATATCCCTCAGCTAAAAATAGAAATGACATTATGCCTCCCATGGATTTTAACTAGATTTTTTAAGTGTGTGTGTGTGTGTGTGTGTGTGTGTGTGTGTGTGTGTGTGTGTGAGAGAGAGAGAGAGAGAGAGAGAGAGAGAGAGAGAGAGAGATGTGCGTAAAGGTGCCTGTGGTAGCCAAAGAGTATGTCAGGTTCTCTGGAACTTGAACTGTCTGACACGGGTGCTGGGTACTGAATTCTGATCTTCTAGAAGTGCAGGAAATGCTCTTAACTGCTGAGATACTATTTAGCCTCTTAACTTGGTTTTTCAAAGAGAAGGCTGAGATGATTTTATATGAGGTTATTTTGAACATATCTTAAATTAATGAAATTTAGTTTAATTAATTATAGGATGAGGCAAAATGGTCCAGGTCCTTTCAGTGCTGGGGATCGAACCTAGGGCCTTTCATTTTCTAGGCAAGCACTCTGACTCTGAGCAATTCCCATCTCCAGCCCTTTTAAATTTCTTTCTTTTGAGACAAGGTCTTGCTAAGTTGCTTAGGCTGATCCAGAACTCTCAATCCTTATACCTCAACCTCCTAAGCAGCTGGGATTACAGGGATGCCACTGAACTGGGATACATTATAAAATCAATGGGAAACATGATGAAAACAGTGGAGACCTTCTCTTTCCAGAAAGAAATGAAGCCCTTTTCATGTTCTTTCAGGAAGAGTTCATGAAAGACTAAGGCTTGTCCACAGGTCTAAGGTTGAGTCTACCCTTCTACCACGATGTCTAGAGCTAGCTATATTTTCCTTATTAGCTGTATAAAGCAGTCAGATACATACAGTTAGGCATCACTGTGTCTCTCAGGGACCTATCATCAGATTAGAAAGTACTAAGTAATTTACTCTTTTCCTTGGATTAAACTGTGAAGGCAGGGAATAGACTTTATCTAGTCCTCATTCCCCTACTGTTTATCCTATTTCTGCTTTTAAAACCACTACAGGAGTTGCTGACTTAGTTGAAGAGTGTTCTGGAAAATGGGTCTGAATTTATTGCTCCTCCATCATTAGCACTCTTTTCTGTATCTTCATAGTTCATCTCCAGATGAAGTCAGAGTAAAAAAAATAGTATTGATAGTAGCTTAGACCTTATCAAATCATTTATAAGGATGTTTTTAATAGGAGTTTTATTGAAAAAGAAATATCATACAGGTTACTTAACCTCAGATTAAATATTTATGTTTTTCCTTGCTACTAGAGCAGCTTTGGTTCTTGTTTTTATATGTATCCTTAGTCACAACATCAGAGTCAAAATCTCACCAAGTTATACAACTGTACTCTGTTCCCTGACAACAGGGCTGCTGTTTTCTTAGGACAGGCACTGTCCAGATGTCACAAGTTTTACTGTGAAATCACTAAAACAAGCATAACCATAGTCCTACAGATAGTATTGAAGCTACTTTGGAGATGAGGTAACATATTAAATACTTAATGTATGATTGACTATACACATTATATATTCCTGCTTCAGCAATTTTTGAGTGTAGAGTTTCTTTTAGTCAGACCTGGAATTAGGTCTTTCACTCATGTGGTTTCAATTAAGTTTGGTTAAAAATAGCTTGTAATATAATCATTTTCATTTTTAGCACTTCAACAACTTTACTTCTTTTGATCCATACAAAGGACAGATCTGGGGACAAAAACAAAGGAAGTTATACAGTACCCTCATGAGAGCTCGTTATGAGCAGAAAACCATTTATTTTAGTACATGGTCTTATTTTTTTATTTTTTAAAACATCTATTTATTTATATTTTATGTATGAGTGTTCTGCATGTATACCTGCATGGCAGAAAAAGGCATCAGATTCTATTATAGATGGTTGTGAGCCACCATATGGTTGCTGGGAATTGAACTCAGGACCCTGTGGAAGAGCTCTGAAACAATGAGCACTCTCCAGCCTGCATGGTCTCCTAATAACACCTAATTGGTCCATATTTTAAAGTACAAATACATGTATATGAAACATATGAGAGAATGTCTCGTTTCTTTTTTTCTTTCTTTTTTTTTTTTTTTTTGGTTTTTCAAGACAGGGTTTCTGTGTAGCTTTGGAGCCTATCCTGGCACTCGCTCTGGAGACCAGGCTGGCCTCGAACTCACAGAGATCCACCTGCCTCTGCCTCCTGAGTACTGGGATTAAAGGTGTGCGCCACCATGCCTGGCTTGAATGTCTTGTTTCTTAACTGACTAAAGAAAATGACAAGAACATTAGCAGATTTCCACACAATTTATCATAAACAATAGGAGAATTTTAATATATTTATATAATTTCTGGCAGATATTCTGCTTTATGGACTTTTTTACTTCACACTCACATCTTCAATGCAGTGAAAATTCAGTCACAGCTGTTATGTTCTGCCATTTGTCTTCATTATAATATCTGGAAAAAATATAACACATTATTTTGTACAGAAGCAAGTGTCCAACAGTTACTAATAACCAATTCCCAATGGTGAGATCACTCACTGCCTGTGACACACCCGTCCCTTTCTTAAAATGCTGGGGAGTTCTTTCTGGAGACACAAGCAATCTGCTCAGTAACATTCTAGAGGAAAGTCAGACAAAGACTGACAATGGTGCTTTGCAGCATTTCTGGGTCTTACCTTGTAGCCTGGAGGAACTCTGTCCTGGCACTTTTTGTCCTTGTTCCCTGCTCAGGCACTTCTTAGACAGCATCTCCCATTGTCTCACTTACCATTCCTATGCATACCCTACTCCTTGCTGCAGTTAAATCCACTTTCTTACCAAATACAGCATTATTGGTGCTTTCTTCTCAGGACTTACACCAGGAAATCCAGAAGGGAGACTACACAGCTTAAAGTTCCCATTATCACATTTTCATCTCACCCCCTAGCCTAATTAGATTATACCAGGTAATTCTGTAATTTTGTTGCACCTCAGAAAACCCTGCTATCACAGTCATGCCTCCTTGCCAATTAGAATCTTTGAGTAAAGGACATATATATCAGACAATCAGGAAAGCGATGTACAGTTAAGTTACAGTTTGCTACTCAAAGTTGGGTCCCAAATAACAGGCTTGAGACTTCTTCACAGTGTCAAAACATGTTGACTTCTTTTCCTCTAAAGCACTGACTTCACCTCTGTAGATAGAGTAGTAAAAATGTCTGTCTGTGACTCTATACATTTACTTGATAAATTATTCTTCACATGATAGCATAACCAAATTTACCACCAAACACAGCAACTACACACATATCTTAGACTTTTTGCAATTTAACCAAAAACCAAGGAAAAGTTTTCAAAAGAGAGATGTCAGCTAGACGTGAGGAACTAATCAAACATTTAAAAGCAAATAATCACTGCACACCGGATGATTTCTTTTTGTAGTGCTGGGAATTGAACCCAGGGTCTCACATATACTAGGTAAGTGTTCAACACTGAGCTATATTCTCAGGCTGCAGAATGAGTGATTATTATAGTACAGATACTTTACATAGTTTACTCATAAGCCTCACAATTCTATGAGGTAAAAACTAACTAACCAATTTTACAGCTAGCATAGTAAAATCCATAGACTTTTAAGGAATTTGTTTATGTGTCAGAAATTGAATATAGGAATGTACCATTATCCAATGACTTCTATTACCATCTCTCTGATACTTATATGGAATTATTTCCACCTCATCTTTTGTGTGTCTGTGTGCTATTTCTATTTGATGTCATTTTCTAAAATCTCAAGCTTCTCACCAAGAGAGAAAGAGGAGTGTCTATGTCTGTGACTATATAGTTATATGATTAAAGGCTAAAAATACCCTCCTTTAGGTTTATATAGTTCGGGGATCTAGTGCTGGTTTGGCCAGTAATTATCTGTGTAAACCAGGACAAAATCACTCGTCAATCTGGTAAAGTAATTTTGTCATTTGTAGAATGAACAAAATAGAAAATGACATGGCTCGCAAATTTTAGTGTTTACTGTAATTACCTCGAAAGTTTAACACAGTTCAGATTCCTCTGCCTTCTCTCAAGCACCTGTAACTTACCAGGCTTTCAGCTATCCGGGTGATCAGAAGACCACCACTGACATGTGTTGATCTAGACATTTTCTAAGTCCTCATCTATTTAGTGGTCACTATTTTCAGAGCCTATTTTTGTGTTGCCTATTGTTGTTGTTGTTTTCTTGAACCAATTCTTTTTCTTTAATCAACATAGTGCTAGTTGCTTTTCAGTCATACTGAACAGGGTCCTATAGCATCAAAATGAACTGTATCCCTGATTAGATTACTGGCAAACTAGCTAAAAACTTTAAATGCCAATGCTAATAATAGGCTGTTGGATATTTTAAATAACACGATCACAAGTTAGCCTGGTACTTTGCTATTTTTACTATCTGAAAGGCAGACACAAGTAGCCAGAGGTCGAAGAGCAACCACTTAGGTGAGGAGGCTGCTCTAGTTATGGTAACAATAAGCCAGGAGATGGCAGCATCAGCTCAACATTCATCAAGGGGTCTCTAAATTACATTTCCAACTGTGAACAATTGAATCTCCCAGGCCCATTTTGGTTTGGATTTGTTACTTAATCCCCAAATTTTGACAGTATCTGATGTCATGAACTAATATAACAGACATAAAAAGGATCAACAATTTTTATTAACATACATATAAACAAAAAGTACAGTTTGAGGGTTTTCATAAATGTAACACACTAGTGTAACTAGCACAGTACTCTTTGCAACCTCACCTCAAATACAATGTGACCAACTGTCTTTATGCTCTTGCCACCATGCTTTTATGACCACAACTGACTACATTTCTTCTTAAACCATGAGCCAAAATAAACTCCTCCCATTTAAGCTGCTTTTTGTCAGTTATTTGGTCACAACTGAAAAAGTAATTCATACAGAAAAGTTGGTACCAGGGTGAGATCACTGCTGTGATAAACGTGACCCTGAAGTTCTAGGCATTTGGGACTGTTTTGTGGGAGAAATCTGGAGCTGTGAGTTAAAGAAGTCCCAGAGTATGCAAGCAGAGATTAATTGGCCATTCTAGTGGGTTTTTAGAAAACTACAGAGAATGTGGAAAGAAGTGCAGTGACAATCCAGCTCACGAAGGTTCAGAAGGTAACCAGCTCTATTTGGAACTAGGTTACAAGCCATTTGTGTTATATTCTGACGAAGAAAAATCTGGATATATTTTGCCTATGTCCTGAAAACCTGAGTGAGGTTGAATTAAAAACTAATGAACTCATTTGTTCAGTAGAAAAAAATTTCAGGACACAATATCTTTGAGCACTCATGGTTATGGTTAATGGTCGTTGTTCTTCTTGGCTGATAGTTACACCACTGGCATCCCTTGTTTTCAAACCTTTAGATTTTGACCTAACTATGATACTGGCACCTCTGGTTCTCTAGCAGGTGGATGGCATGCCTTAGAACTTTGAAACTTCCATAATCATGTTACCAATTCCTGTATTCAGTCTCCTCTCATATAAAATATCCCTATCTATCTATCTATCTATCTATCTATCTATCTATCTATCTATCTATCTATCTATTTCATATGTGTTTATGCATTTGATCACAAGAAACACTGGGAAAGGTTCTTTATCTCTCCTTCAACACACTTTCTAAAAAGAACCTCTCCCAGAAGTACTTAACAGTGTTCGAGTGTTTGAGGGTATGTATGGAGAGACAGATATCTAGTGATACTTGTTCTGTTACTCTGGGCAACCCTCAGTAATATAACTATTAGGTATAAAGTGAGTAGTATTGACTCAGGCAATCAGGAAGTTATTTAAAAAGAGAAAATTTATGAACTTGAAGAGTGGAAAAAATGAGGACAAAAGTCAAGAGTGAACAGCTTGCATGGGTATATACATAATATATTAAATTTCAGTTGTTTCATTGGCCACTCATTCATGAGAGGTTCCTCAGCTCCACTATGAATTAAAAAAATGCTTATTTTGATTTTAGAATCCTTGAGTGATTGAATTTGCCTCAGTCATTTGGTAATGTCTACCATTTAAAATCTCCTACTCTTTAAATGTATAAGAGTGGAATAACAGTACCCATTTTATCTACTGTAATAATGGTGAGGAATTTAGATGTTAAGATCCTTAGCACAGTAGCACACAGAAGTACTCAACCAATACCAGGTGAATAAAAAAATTATCCATCTTTGAAAAGAATAAAACTCGTCCAGGTATTGGTGGCACATGCCTTTAATTCCAGTAATAGGGAGGCAGAGCCAGGTGAATCTCTGAGTTCGAGGCCAGGAGTGAGTTTCAGGACAACCTCCAAAGCAATACAAAAAAACCCTGTCTCAAACAAACAAACAAACAAAAAGAATACAACTAAAATAAAATTCAAACAGTAGAAAATTTCAGAATGTTGAAAAAGAAGCATCCTAGGTAAACACATTTAAGTCAATGTCATAAGTTAAATTTTCAAAAGATGAAGTATGCATTTTCAAAAAGTTATCTTATTCAAGTTTATGACATCTGTTAAGAATTTTGTAATTTTATTTTTTCAATTTTATGTAAAAACTGAGAATACAAGTTATGAATGAATTTACTGTGCACGTAAAGTATTTATTGTGAAAAACATGCTGAGCTCATACCTGGAGTAACATCTTGAGGAGGAGAACACTTTTTCTTCACAGCAGTATCTTTACTTCTCATCTGTCTAGTTCCTGGTGATGCCCGAATAATACAACAGATCTCAGATGCATATGAAGGAAACTGAAAAGGAAAAGAGTAGTTACTGCCTAATTCCTATAGGTACTACATTTAATGCAGTCTTATTTAAAATAAAAATAATCTTGGTATTCTTGGTTAGAATGATGGAAACATTGAAAAACAATAAGGAACGTTCAAATAACAAGGATATGCACCATGTCCATGGAATGGTTCAATAATGATGTTAGTTTTGAAAAATAAAAAGAGACAATGAATTATTTTAGTTATTTTCCTAGTGTGAGAAAACACAATGACCAAGGCAACTTTTACAAGAAAGGATTTTAATTTGGTTTATGGCTCCAGAGGTTTAGAGTCCAGATGGTGAAGTGAAGAATGGCAACAGCAGCAGTTGAGGGCACACATCTCAAACCACAGCAGGAGACAGAGAAAGCAATGGGCATGGCACATGCCTTTCAAAACCTTGAAGCCTGTCCCCAGCATCACCTCCAACAAAACCACATACCTCCTAATCCTTCCCAGTGGGCCTTATGAGGGCCATTTCCATTCAAACCACCACAGAATGAAACAAGCACCAGGAAAATGGAACTTATTGAGAGAATGAGTTGAATCATGGATCTGAAACACTTGGGAGCGGGTATTTATAATGTCCTGTTTTATTGTCTAAATGAGGGGAACAAAAGCATTGCTTACTTCTTATTTAAACCATACATATTATCTTTTCTATGAATGCTATTTTATACACAGCTCTGCTTTCTTACTTCTTTCAACAGCCTCCTCCCATCTCAAACACAGGATGGAGAATTTTCCTAAGGAAAGGGGCTAGCCAATCATTTCCTCCTTGGAAGATTTCTGACCATTCACGGTAGAGGTTCTGTGCTGAAAACAGTTGAATGCAGTGAATGTAAGTCAGCAGATGCTGAGATTCCAAGCCCAAGGAGCCTTTGTCCCTCAAACAAGAAACTAAAATATTCTGCTCTTAGCTGTCCAAAAGTCTAATGTTATTAGCCTGAAAGGTCAGCCATATCATCTAACAATGATTTTACAGTTGTCAAGTACTACTTACAATTGAGATTGTTTAATTACCTTCCCACATCCTCAGTTTTAACTGAGTCATTAACATACAGAGAATGTGTGTGTGTGTGTGTGTGTGTGTGTGTGTGTGTGCGCGCGCGCGCGTGCTTGTGCACAGGTTCGTGTGGAGAGTGGGGAATGGAGTAGGGAGAGAGAAAGAAGGAGGACAGCTTGCTGATTAATTCTATGTATGACAGGCTAGCTAGTGCATGAGCTCCTGGGGAGTCTCTTGTCTCTAGGTACAAATAATTTTAGAGGCTTCTCAAACAAGGTGGAAGGTGAGGACCGACACCCAAGGCTATCCTTTGACTTCCACATGTGGACCATGGCATCTTTACACATATACACAGATCCATGCATATACATACATGTACATACAAATAGAATTCATGACATTCTGACACAGAAAATGGAAAAATGGAAAAAGAGTGAGGCATGGCAAGAATTTTCACAACACAGGATACGAAGACAAGATTTTTTTCCAGCTTCTGAAACAGAAAAAAATCAATATGGTTCCATAAAATAACATGGAAAGCTAGAACTCTGATAAGGTAATGTTGAAGAAAATTATTTGTACTGCCTCTAAATTAGGTGAATCTTCAACTCTGAGGATAGAATTAAAACCTGTTCTGTCATGAACATTCCCAAACAATCCCATACTCCCTTTCATAAGAGGTAGTGGAGGATTCATTTATCTAAATTAAGGGAGGGAGGATACTAGCAACTGGGGAGTATGTGTAGATTTGTGAAGTGAATACCCAGAATTATGGTTCAGGCAAATCTCAGGATGACTGACAACTGTGCAGGCATAGAAAGCCCAAGTCAGAAGACTCCAGCAGAAGATTTTTCAGTGTGTTAAAATTTGATGGATCTTCAGATCTAAAAAGTTGGGCAAATGATTAACAATGAGTCTAGGATTGATTAGATAGGAAAACAAGTATCATGGGCAGAACCATATCCTTCTAAAGGAGACATCAGTGACTGTGAAAGTGACTTTATTTGGTAATATGATCACTACATATTTCATCAAGTTAAAACAGCCCTTAGTTCAATATAACCTGTGTCCTTATAACAGGAAACGTGGACAGCGACACACAGGGAAAATGTGTGAAGGAACAGAGATACACAAAGAGGGAATGGAGCTATACAAGAATTGCCAAAGACCAGACTTACTCTGTCCCAGTCATAAGATGCTGGCATGTAGCCTGACAGAAGAAAGATTCACCTCCAGTAGATGTGGAGGAGCTGCACCCTACTAGCATCCTGATTTCAGAACTGTGGTAGAATATTTTCTCTTGTTTTAAGAAACCACCTACTTTGTAATATTTGTCACAGCCACTTCAACAAGTGACTACTCCAGGGTAGGGGGTGGGGACCACTGGAAGAAGTGATTACAGTTTTCTATATGCCCTGAACAGGGGAGAATCTCCACTGAAACAAATAATTATGAGACCAAAAACTGTACTTTCCTCATTAAGAAAGAGAATTCCTGAAGAAAAAAAGTTGTTCATGTTCCATTATACTCAGCATCAGTCTCTAGGGCAGACACAGAAAAGGACTGTATTTGAACCATCTACTTAATGGTCTGAACTTTGCCTGACAGAACTGACATCCATGTGGACAGACCAGTCAGTACACTGCTCTTTGTCAGAACCAAAAACTGTTGTATGGATGAAACCTTCCCTAAGACTCAGTGCTTTTCCAGAAGGTGTTCCAGGCAACTTCAGTGTATAGAGCTGCTATCAGAACCTGCTACAAAGTGTTTCTTATTTATAACCTTTTGAAGGAAATAATAGGGAAGCACTCCCAAAATATAGAGGGAAAGACTGACATAAACAATGAGAGAAAGGAAAAATCAATAAAACACCCAAAATTCATATTGCCAAAGAATAATTAAGCAATAATCAGAGCTATAACACAAAATATATGAACTAAAAAAAAAGAATTCTGTAAGATAAAGATAACTGACTCAACATATTCCTTAAAGTTCTCCACTCTACTTTTAAAATAAAAAAAAACATCACATTCCAACATGTCCTCAAAAGAGGGCTTTCTGTTCTGAAGCAGAGTTTCCCTATATAGTCCAGCCAGGCCTTGAGATCCTCTATATTTTCCTTCCAAGTGCTGAGATTAGGAAAATCTTCTGTACTCACTCATTTTTGATTTTTAGACATAGAGCAAAGAATCACTAGCCTACATTCCACACTGCCAGAGGAGCTGGGAAACAAGGAGGACCCCAAGAGAAGATTGCATAGTCCCTTGAAGAAGGGGATGGGGACAAGAACCCCTGACCAAAGTGAAGCTTGGGGGCAGGGAGAGGTAGGAGAGTCTTCATCCAGTTGCTGTTAGAAGCAGAAACAGACATCCACAGCTAAACACTGAACCATACTACTGGAATTCAGTTGTGGAGAGGGAGGAGAGTTGAGCAAAGGAGCCAAGATGGGGCTGGGAGACCTACAGAAACAGAGTGGACCTGACCTACTGATAGAATGGAGACCCTAGTCATAAAGTCACAGCATTGGGCCAAACCAAGCCCTCTGAATGTGGGTACCAGCTAGGAGTCCAAGACGGTCTATGGGTCCTCTAACAGTGGAGCCAGTCTTTATCCCTAGAGCACAAAAGGACTTTGGGAGCCCATTCCCTATGGAGGGATACTATTTCAGCCCAGATACAGCAAGGAGGGCCTAGGCCATTCCCCAAACAATATGAAAGACTCTGAGGGTCCTTGGTGGAGGGCCTCACTATCCTGGGGAGGAGTTGGGGGTTGGGGGGGTTGAGGTGGGTTGGGTGGGGAACATGGGAGGATGGGAGGGTGAGGGAATGGGGGAATGGATATGTAAATATGAGTAATTAAAATAATTTAAAAAAGAAATAGGCTGAAAAAATAAGTTATCTGGAAAGGAATGAAATTTGGGGTGATCACAATTTCTCTGTTCAATATAAAATACTATGAAAAGAGTTGTAATGGAGAATGGCAATTTGTTCTGCTAGCTCAGCAAGTTTTGCACCTTCCTTCTAGTTGCAAACCTTGTTCTATGACCACAGGAGTGGGAAGAAAACCCAGGCTTAGCCAACTACAAGTTTTCATTTCTCTGGCAATGACAGATGGGGCAGGGCCGACATGAAACTTGGGCAAAGCTAACAGGAGTCCTCAGCCAATACTAAAATACACATATAAAAACAAGCCTTTCTCCTTCTACTTGGGCTATGACAAACCAGAAAAGATGATGAAAGCCTGTTTGTAACAGAAACACAAGGAGGGGAGAGGAAATAAAGACAAGCTAGGTTAAAAACAAGTGTGAGGACTGGAGTTTGGATCCCTAGCACCCATGTAAATATCAGGCAAATATGATGGCCTGATGTCATCCCAGAACCAGAAGGGCAGAAACAGGAGAATTCCATGAGTAAGCTGGCTAGCCAGATTCAAGAGTTCTGGGTTCAGAAAGAGACCAGGCCCCAATATATAAAGTGGGAAGGAACTGGAGAAGGTACTTGATGTCAACCTCAGAACTATACACACACCTATTCCCACTTGTGCCATGACATGAGAACACACATGCTTATACCACACATATATATCCAAATAACAAATACATAAATAAAAACAATCATAGAAGCATCTAGAAGTTTCAACAGGAATTTTTAACAAAGTGCTACTCAATTTCTGAATTCAGTCATTGCCTTCCAATTAATGGGTCAATAAGTCATCCTATCCTGTTTCATTTTGGATTATACATACATACATACATACATACATACATACATACATACATACATGAAACTTGTGAAAAACAATAAGAGATTCACTGAGTTCTGGGAGTAAAATGTTTTTGTCTTGCTTGGGCATGATGCCTCATGCCTTTGATCTAAGCATTTGGGAAGTTATAACAAGAGTTTGAGGTTTAAAAAAAGACAAACATGGTATGTACTCACTCATATATGGATTTTAGACATAGAGTAAAGGATTACCAGCTTACAATCCACACTGCCAGAGAAGCTAGTAAACAAGGAGGACCCTAAGAGAGACATACATGGTCCCCTGGAGAAGGGAAAAGGGACAAGATCTCCTGAGCAAATTGGGAGCACGGGAAGAGGGGAGAGGGAGCTATGAGAATGAGAAGGGGAGAAGAAAAGGGGTGAGGAAGACATGATGGGGCAGAGAGGTTGAGCTGGAGGAAGAACAGAAAAGAGCAAGATAAGAGATAATCTAATAGAGGGAGACATTATAGGTTTAAAGAGAAATCAGGCACTAGAGAAATGTCTGGAGATCTACAAGGATGACACCAATGATCTAAGCAACAGAGGAAAGGCTACCTTAAATGCCCTCCCCTGATAATGAGATTGATGACTGACTTATATGCCATCCTAGAGCCTTCATCCAGCAGGTGATGGAAATAGAAGCAGACCCACAGCTAAACACTGAACTGAACTGGAATCCAGTTGCAGAGAAGGAGGAGTGGTGAGCAAAGGGGTCAAGACCAGGCTATTGAAACCCAAAGAAACAGCTGACCTGAACAAGTGGGAGTTCTTTCCCAGACTGATAGCTGGGAAACCAGCATGGGACTGATTCAGACCGCATGAATGTGGGTGCCAGTGAGAAGCCCTCGGAAATCTATGGGGCCTCTTGTAGTAGACCAGTACTTATCCCTAGCATAGGAATGGACTTTGGGAGCCCATTCCACATAGAGGGATACTCCCTGAGCCTAGACACAAGGGGGAGGTCCTAGGCCCTATCCCAAAGGATATGACAGACTCTGAAGATCCCCTATGGAAGGCCTCACCCTCCCTGGGGAGCAGAAAGGGTATGGGATAGGTAGGGTGTTAGTTGGGAGGGGCAGGGGAGGAGGGGAGGGAGAGGGAATTGGGATTAACATGAAGAACAATCTTGTTTCTAATTTAAATTTAAAAATGGAGAAAAAGAAAAAAAAGAGTTTGAGGTTAATACTGAATCTGAGTCTAGCCTGACTCTAATAAGCTCTAGTCACAAAAAATAAAACAAAACAAACTGTTTATAATCTAGAATTATTATACTTAACTTTCCTTTGTACACACAATTATCAGATAATAAAATTAGGACATGGCACTGTTAAAACTGGGTACTTACAAGTGAAAGTGGAGTTAGATGCACACACAACAATTAACTAAAAATAGATTTTCCACCTCTTTAAAGAAAACATCGGCAGAAGCTTCCTGACATTTTATTTGTCATGACTTTTTGTATGACACCAAATATGTAGGCCATAAAAGAAAAATGAGAAAACTTAAACAATGAAAAATTCCAAATGTTGGCTTCAAAAGATCCTATACACAGAGTGAAAAGGCAGCTCATGAGAGTGGAGAAAGCACTTGCAGCTCATGTATCTAACAACAGAGGTTTCTTTCCACACAAAGGATGCTGGTCTCACAAAACATCATCATCATCCTAACTGTTCTTTCAGCAGTTGAGGAAAATCTTGAAAATGTTACCTCACTTGAAGAACTTTCTTGCCAACTTGACACAGGAACAACTTCACTTGAGTTAACATAATTGCTGACATTTGGAAATAGTTCTTCAAAAGATACATTTTGCACTGGAGACAAATCAATCTATACAACAATATAACTCCTTTTAAAGTTTCAAAAACATCAGCTTTAGGTAATTAAACTAATATTGAAAATACTATCTTATTAAAGCATTTTCTTGTGTATTTCATGCACAACTTCATTTAAGTAAACATAATTACATTTGGAAATAATTCATCAAAACATATTTAACTGTGGATAAATCAATGTATAAATAATTTTCTCATTAAAGCCAAACAGAATACAAAATCACAAATACTGGCAAGGATGTACAGGGATTGGAATCTTGTGCATTGCTTGTAAGATTGTGAAATGATACAAGCCTTATGAAAAAGATTTTCTAGAAAACTTAAAGTGTCCTTACCATATCATCCAGAAATTCTACTTATGGGTATATGCTCAGAGGAATGGAAAATAAGGAACTTATACTTGTGCATATGCCTTTAGCACCAGTGTTCATAACAATCAAAGTAGAAGTGACCAAAATGTCCACTGACTGACAGCATATAAATATGATTGTATAACAGAATATTTTCATATCTAAAATGTAAGTGTGTGTGTGTGTGTGTGTGTGTGTGTGTGTGTGTGTGTGTGTGTTGTATTGTGAGTGTACATGCCTCTGCACTTACATGAAAATCAGAAAGCATCTCTCAGGAGTTGTTTTTCACCTTTCATTGTATGAGTCCTGAGGATAGAACTCAGGCTGTAAGAAAGTACCCTTACCTACTGAGCTGTCCCATATTATGTGTTTTTAAAATTATTTTATTTTATGTATATGGGTGTTTGGGCTACATAAGTCTGTGCACCATGTGTATGTAGTACCCACAGAGGCCAGAGGCCAGAGGCCAGAGGCCAGAAAAGTGTGTTGAATTTCCTGGAACTGGAGTTATAGAGGGTTGTGAGCCACCATGTGTGTGTTGGGAATCAAACCCCAGTCCTGTGGAAGAACAATCAGTGATCATAGCCACTGAACCATCTCTCCAGCCCTGGAAAGTAATTTCAGACACATGCTATCACATATGTAAACTTGAAGGAATAATATTTGTGAATTATATTAGTCATAAAAGGGGGACTACTGCTGGGCATGGTAAAATATACTCATAGTTCCAGCTGCTTGGGGAGCCTGGGGCAGGAGAGTCAATTGATCCCAGCATAAGTCAGACCTTACCTCAAAAAACAAAGGCTAAGTAATGTGTGATTTTAACTATACAAGGCACTTCATGTAATCAAATTCAAAGAGAGAAAGTAGAAAGGTGATTGCCAGTGTTGGGGAGGGTTCAATGGGGAGTTACTGTTTAATAAGTATGGAGTTTCAGTTTTACACAATGAAAAAAAAAACTATAACTAGATGGAGATGATCACTATACAGAAATGTTCAATACACAGCTAAATATGATTAAAATTCTAAATTTTATGTTACATACACAGAAAAGGCTGGTCATGGTAGCATATGACTTTGGTACTCCAAAATCAGAGTTAGATTGATATCTATGCATTTAAGGGCAGCCTGGTCTACAAAGGGAGTTCTGGGCTAGCCAGGGCAGAAAGGGAAAGAGAAGGAAGAGGTCGGAGGAGAAGAATTTGTGACCTGGAAAGTTTGGGGCTAGAGATGGTTCAGTCATTACGAATGTGTACTGCTGTTGCAGAGGACCTGAGTTTAGTTCCCAGCCAGGAAGTTCACAACCACCTGTAACTCCAGCTCCAGGGGATCTGATGCCCTCTTTTGGCCTCTGTGGGCACTCACATGCAGATGCACATACCCGTACACAGACACATACACATACTTAAAAATAAAATCTTCCTGGGTGATGGTGGCACTCCCAGCACTCAGGAGCAGAGGCAGGCGGATCACTGTGAGTTTGAGACCAGCCTGGTCTACAAGAGTTAGTTCTAGGACAGCCTCCAAAGAGACACAGAGAAACCCTGTCTCAGGGAAAAAAAATCTTTAAACAAAATTCTCAAACAAACACTGGTTGGTGTTGCAGTATTCTCCCTTACATATAGAGTATTTACAGTGAAAGTGTGTGTGGGTAGCAGAAAAGTACACGTATTACTCTTTATGGGCAAATGCCCCTGGTACGATGCAAGCAGATGAATGGGGAGAGGAGAAATCAGGAAACAGATTCCACAAGGGTCAAATGCTAGTACTTACCACAAAGTCAGCTGTGTCAGAAGATGGTGTACTCGTTAACAGGGCTTTGCTTCGCTTATCAGGAGGAGTAGAACTTTTTTTCTATAAATATTTACAAATAGATTATTAGAAAGAAAATATTTTTAAGATAATAATTCAGTTAGTAGACTAGACCATGTGTAATAGTAATAAAATCCTCATTCTGTTAATTAAATTTTAAACCACCAGGTAGTAAACTGAAGAATTTTCTGGACTGACTAGGTCAAACAACTCTGAATAGAACTGTATCTGGTGTAACAGCTACGTAAGAATTCTGAGGTTGAAATGACTGTTAATTTAGGAAGAGAAGCTAAAATAATAATTAATAAGCTTTGATTACCTCTTTTAACTGTCTTAAAATTATTTCCAGGATTTGTTTAGTTCCTGGAATAGGACTGTACTTTTTAATGGAAAGATTCACATAAACAAACTGGGAATGGAAAGTAGGGGAGAAATGAGAAGGAAAATGGGAGAGGTAAAGATGCAGAAAGAGGGGGATGCTTGAAGAGACCAGAAGAAAAAAGAGAAGAGATTGAGAGGAGGGAGAAGTGAGAGAAAATGTGACAGAATGTGAACAGAAAGAGATAAAGGGGCAGAGGCACAGAAGGGCAGGGATGGTGTGGAGCAGGGAGACAGGAATCAGAGAGAGGCAGCGGGACACGGGGAAAGACAAACAGCAACAAAGAAGAAGCGGGAGGAAAAACAAAGCTGAGTGACAAGACAGGCAGAGCGACAGAGGTCGCTTTATTTCCAGCAATCAGCTGCCTTTCTAAATCCTGGACTCTGTAAACCCACCATGCCTTTCTGAAAAGTTTCTCTTCTTGAGTTTGTGACTGTTAAAGGAATCTAGGTTTGGATCTGGAACTGAAATCCTGAGATAAACTGAGAATCATAGTTAAGTCTGTGTTAGTTTTATTTCACTTTTACTTTTCTTTCACTCTATTTTTCTTCTGATTTGATCTATTTAAACCAGTTGGAATAAACTAATGAAAAATGGATTATTAAGAAAATTGTTACTAAAATTTTATGGGTATATATTAAAAACTTATGGCAAAAACTTGGTATGGATTATGTTAACTCTAACTTATTAACTATATATTTTTAACTTCTTTATCTGAACAATGAGGACAGTCTACCTTTAGGATTAGTGAGCTTGATTACAAAGAGTATATGCAGAGAGAACGTATGGATTCTGGAGAGAAGACAGTCTTCTGGTGAGCTAGCTCTACCATCATTGAGGCAGCTTCAGGGGTTCAGATTTCCTTGAACAAAGAACCTGCTGCTACACTGCAAGGGGTGTGATTAGCAATAATCCAGCTGCAATAATTTTAAGATCTGCATCAGCTGTCAAGTCCTGAGTAGACAGCACAATAGACTTGGGTGCTGCATGCTCTTTGCTTCAGAACTCCCCACTGGATCCAGGCAATCACTGTCCAATCCCTCTTATTTTTTCCTCAGGTATTATCTGCTCCAATAAGCCACTTGAACTCTTAATTACATCTCAAAATCTTTTCAGAGGTCCCAGTGACACAGCTGTTAACACTTAGTTTACTTTAAAAAGCATTAGCTTGCATGCAGCTATAGAATTTAGCTACACACTATTTTTTCATATTTGTTAGGAAATTGTGTGTTTCTAAGCTTTCCCAATCAGTACACTTTATAGTCTTTCTAAGAATTATGAGTTAACAAAATACAGGACTTACTGACAAAGGTTCCAGGGATTGAGGCAGCAGAGCATCCCTGACTGCAATACTTTCAAGAGCTGAACTATGATGGGGGAATGCAGCCTTGTTGTCGAGATGGCCAGAGCTTAACTTCATTTGAACTTGTAGACCTCTATCTTCAGATTCTTTTTCAGGCTGAAACACATTCACAATAGCAAATATAATTCACAATGCTATAAAACATCCTTTGTCCTTCTCAGGTGTCCTATTACTTCTTCAAGTTGAAAAGGGATTTAAGTGTGAAGATAATTGATTTTCTAGGCAAAAAAGAGTATGTTCTGAGGCTAGGGGTATATATTGCCAGCACTATAAAACATAACAACCCAAAGCCTGATATATGCCTAAAAACAGTGTGTTTCATATATTTAAGTGAAAAATCTGGTGAAAGACAAAATAAGTTGAAATACTCAACTCTACCACATTTAAGGTATCAACGCTCACATGGTGTTTTACAAGGTTGGAGATGTGGATCTGTCAGTGGCACAGAATTTGGCTAGTGGGGATGATGACTTGGGTAAAAGGAGCTAGAAACCTAAATAATGTTTTGCAAAAAAATATAGATTTGTTTGCCAACACCTAAAAATTATATTTATTACTGTCTTTATTATACAATAATCTGTATTTAAGAAACCTAAAAAAGAAAACCCTCTTAATATCAGGACATGTTAACTATCACAAATATGTTGTTTTGTTAACTAATCCCTGCACCGAATATTATACATGGTTCAGTGACTCCAGTTATGAACTTGTCTCATGGTTTCACAATGTATTTATAATATTATAGTACTTAAAATATAAGCACGCCAAACACAAGTATAGAGGTGAAATTTGAATTTCACATAAAATTAGATTGTGGTGATGTAATTCTAAGGATTTTAAGTTGGGGTGGGGATATGAAGAGGATGGCAGAGTAGGGGGAAGGAAGTGGGTGCTAAGGAAGGTATAGTCCATGCCTATGAGTCAATAGCAAAGCATGCAATAGCCCCAGCTGACTTCTTTTCTCTCAAGATTTTAGTCTTGAAAACAGATTTCTCTTTCAGTCTTGCCATCATTCTAAGTAGTTTCATCAACCAGGTAGATGACATACACAGCTGTCTTCTCAGTTCCTCCAGTTCTATGTTGCCTTTTCCTTCATACCATTCCAGTCATATCACCATCAAAGCCTAGCCCTCACCTTCAATAGAAACCGCAGAATCATCAATTCAGATAGCTTCCTATACCCTCCTAATCCTTGTTTAAGTGCCTTCATGAAATAGCATGTCCCCCCTTGTTAAACAAAATCTTTAGTCAACTGATTCTGATACTGTATCTTCACCACTAGCCTTCATTAGTCTTCTTTGTGGGCTATCTAACCCATCACTATCCATCAGTATAATTAATTTCTGATTCCTTCCCTTTCTAGCACAAATGTCTTGCCAAATCTTCAACCTCAGACAAGCCCACTTCCATATTCTCTGTACCTTCAGTGTAACTGAATATCTGGTAGAATTGTGTAACATGGCAAATCCAAATCACAGACTCAACAAAATTGCCTCACAAAGCAGTAACTATACTACACATTTGTAGCTTCTCATGAGTACTTCACAATGCTCTATTTCCCTTAGACCTGTCTTCTTTCTTTTGCAATTTTCAGCTGGAAAAAAGTCTTTCACCATACACTTTTGTAACAACAGTAACCATCGAACAGGATGCCACCCAAGACTCAAAAATTTCAAGGCTCGGTACAGGTGGGGATGGTGCATGCCTTTAATTCCAGCACCCAGGATGTAGAGGCAGGCAGATTTGTGTGAGTTTAAGGCTAGTCTTGGTCTACAGAGTGAGTTCCAGGACAGCCAGGTCTACACAGAGAAACCCTATCTTGAAAAAAAATAAGAATTTAAAGATAGAACATTGAATGTGTTATTGCCCTTTTAAGTGCAAATTCAGACCTCTCACACTGCATCTGCAAACCCACCACAAAGGAAATATCCTTTTTGTTAAAGGGTAGTACCCATCTTGAATTCTAGACCGATGCCTCCTTATGTTCTCAAGGACTTCTCTCTTCAATATAATATAGACATTTTAAAATAGCATATTCTTTTTTGAATTTCTAATTGTCCATTTTAATTTTCAAGTTGTAAAAAAATGGCAAAAGACTCCTTCATTTATTTGAGATAGTTTTGGGAATTCAGTTATGTTAAAATGCTTAGGTATATTTTTAAGATTTTTAGTTGTACATAAGACTAGGACCAATCACAACAAAAGCACATAGGGCAAAGTCAGCCTTGGAAGGACTTGAAAGGATGCATGGCCAAAGTCCCAAGGGAAGCAGGTGCAAATGTCCTCTTTCAGTAAAGTCAATAACACGTTCACATTGTGTACCAACAGCAAAAATATTCTTAAATAGTTTTATTGAGATATGATCTAACATACCCTAAAGTTCGCATAAGTATGAAATTCAAAGATACTTTTAGGATCATGCGACCATTACCACAATCCAGTTTTAATACATTCTTGTTCCTAGAGTCTCATATTAGTGACAAATTTCCATTCCACTACACCAGTACTAAGTAACCTTTTCTCTAATTCTTTCTGTTGTGGGATATCTGTATACTGTGTGAAAATGTATTGCTGTGATTGGTGTAATAAAAAGCTGAACAGCCAATAGCTAGGCAGGAGACATGTTAGGACTTCTGAAAAGAGAGAGAACTCTGGTAAGACGAAAGTAGAGTCACCAGCTCAAGTTGCCTACCGGGTAGAATTCAATGCTGTGCTCCCATCTTCCCATCCACCATTTTTAGTGGCTCTCAAAAGCAATCTGATATATCCAGTTTTTTAAATTAAAGGATTCTGAGACCCTGCCTCTCCATTCAATTGCTACTCTTTTCTACTATTTCCCTTTAGGGTTGATTCTTCCCCTGACTCCCAGTCTTGCACTTTATTGCCTTTGTCACCTCAGGCCTTGACGGCATACTTGTGCAGTGTGTTCAGCCCCTCCTTCTGCAACTGTTCCCTGTCTTTAGCTTCTCTTTGTGCTTGGTGAACCAGCAGCGCATGGCTCTCATCATGTTGGGTAGCTCTCTGGAGGCTTATACTTCTTGCCCTTGTAGAATTTCCTGGAGTTTTTATTTTTATTTTTTGGTATGCTTATTAATGACAGTGAGGACATAGGTGATGGATTTCTGGAAGACTGACATCTTGGAGAACTTGAACTGGCACTGCTTGTCTCCTTGGCAACATGAGCTGGGATAGCTCCACCTTCAGATCATCTAGTTCTTTCAGCAGTTCCCCTGTCTTGCCACACAGGTCCTGAGTGTCAGTTATGGTCATAGATGTATTTAGGGTTGGGTTCTATACAAAATTATGACTTCTTCTCTTTCCATAACTCTAACTTATCCCAATTTGCTTTGATGCTCAACAGTCCACTAAATTGTTCTTGCTGAAATCACCAGACTCTTTTATGATTCTAAATACAATCACTATTCTCATCTAAACTAATGCAAAATTTGAACAGTTTTGATTTTATATCAAAGTCGAACAGAAGTACAGAGTTCTCAGATAGTCCTGAAACACATATGTATACCCCTCCCTCTATTAACATCCTCTATATGACAAGTGGCATATTTCTCATCATCAATGTATCTACATTTACATACCAGCAGCATCTAAAACCTACAGTTAACCTTGGGATCCACTCAATGTTGTATATTCTGTACTTTTTGACAAATATTTAACATATATTCGCCATGTAGAATCATAAAGAATAGCTTGTTTGTCCTAAAAATTCCTCTATACTTTACCTCCTAATCCCTCTCTTCTTCCGATTCCAGGCAGCCATTAGGTTTTTGCTTGTTTTTACTATCTCTGTAGTTTTGCCTTTTCTAGAATATCATAGAGTTAGAATCACATAAATCTTTTCAAATAAGTTTTTTCACATGGCTTACAACCCAGTTGCTTTAAAAATATTATTAGTATGTTTGCGTGCATATGTTCAGGTGCACCTTCATGGCATGCATGTGAAAGTCAGAGGAAAATTTTGGGAGCTGCTTCTCTCCTGCCATAGGTTCCTGGGATCAAACCCATGGCATCAGGCTTATATAACACGAGCCTTTACCTACTATCTTTTTTTTTGGCTTTTTAAAATTTTAAATTAAAAACAATTTTATTTTACATATCAGTCCCAGTTCCCTCTCCCTCTCCCTCCCATCCTCCCATACCCCCTACCGGCCCCATCATTTGGGGCAGGGCCTAGGCCCTCCCCCATGTGTCTAGGCTGAGAGAGTATCCCTCTATGGGGAATGGGCTCCCAAAGTCCATTCATTCACTAGGAATAAATACTTGTCTTCTAGTGTGGTTGTGTCATCTGCAGCCCCAGCAATGACAGAGCACTCCTGTTGCTATACATCTGCAGCAGAATTTGGCCCTGTCCATGTTTTAGATTTGCAACATTCTACTGGTGTGTTTTATTTGCAAATTTCTATGGGCATGTGATGATGAACAACTTTTAACACACTTCTTGCCATCTGCATACCTTAAGTATCTGCTCAGATCTTCTGTCCACTGTCCATTACTTCATATTTAAACTTTAAAATTCTTTGTGTGTTTTTAGATCATCATCATATCTACCTTTTAGAAATGTGAGGTTTGTCTTCTCTTTCTCAACATTGGATTTCACTGATCAGGAATGAAATTTTGATGAATTATAGTTATCAATGATTTCTTTCATGTATTATGCCTTTGGTGCTGCAGTGTAACATTTGAAAATTCACTACCATCTTCCAAGTGTTAAGTTTCAAACCTGGGACAAACAGTTGAGGTGACTATTTAACATATTAAAGCAGACTTAGCTGCCAGGATCTCCCAGCATCCCTCAGTTCCTACATGTTATGGGGTAACTGATGGAGTTGAAGACTAGATAGTTACAGCTACAGTTTCCCTTAATCATGATAGAAAGTAAATTAGGTACAAAACTTTGGACTCATCAAGAGAGGATAGATAATGGAATATTATATCTAAATTTACCAAATAATAATGGATTGGGCATTGTAAATGTATTTCTTACTTGGTAATTATTCTTATTATATATAGTTTTGCATTGTTAGAGTTAAAATCTTTCCTTTTTATTTAGACAAAAAGAGGGAAATATAGAATAATCTTTTGTACACTGTGAAGATGTGTCACTTGGATTGGTTTAATAAAAATCTGACTGGCCAATAGCTAGGCAGGATTTGGAAGGCAGAGAGGATGTTGGGAAGAAGAAAGCAGAGATGCAAGGAGACACAGAGGAGGCAGGAAAGCAGGATGGACAATACATAGATGAGGTAAATGAACCTCAGGCAGCACATGGATTAATAGAAATGAGTTGGTTAAGTTATAAAAGCTAGCTAAAAACTAGCCTAAGCTATTGGCTGAGCTTTCATAATTAATAGTAAGTCTTCACATAAGTGATTTGGGATCTGGCTGGCAGAACAGAGAAAGACTAGCTACATGTGCTTCTATGCCAAGCTCTTAATCAACTGAGTCCTCTCTCCAGCCCCTCCAATGTTGTCTTTATCAAATCAGCTTCTCAAGACAAGGATTAGAAGTCTTTGCCAATACTTCTCACTCCTCCCTCTATATTCATCTGTCAACTCTACAGGCAAAATTATCTTCCATACAAGTACATCTCTCCATCCCTTCTATAAAACACCTTAATCAAAGCCAAACACAAAATCTCTCACCAAAACTATTTTTAATTTCTTATGATACATCTCCCTGCTAACATGTTTGCCTTTTCCCAATTTGTTCCCTAATCTATATAATAGGAAGAAAATGGATTTTAGGGCAAGAAAGAGCTGATACAAAACACTAAAAAAATGATGAAAATATAAGACTATATAAAATAGTCAGCTATAAAATAGATATCATCCAACAAGAGAGCAAACAACGACAACAAACTACTTATCTGAATGGAATGATACAATTAATGAAAGGCTTTCAAAGTCCAAAGCGTTTCCCAGAGAACTTCAGATTCCAAAAGACTATAGTCTTAAGCATAAAATGTTGCTCTGGTAACAGAGTAAATTTCTTATTTGTACCTTAATGAATAATGTGTACCTAGTCATTAAAAGGTTGTTTAGGTCAGCTGTTTCTGTGGGTTTCACCAGCCTGGTATGGACCCCTTTGCCCATCAGTCCTCCTCTGCAACTGTTTTTCATTTCAGCTCAGTGATGAGCTGTGGGTGTCTGCTTCTACTTCCACCAGCTGCTGAATGAAGGTTATAGGATGGCATATAAGTCAGTCATCAATCTCATTATCAGGGGAGGGCATTTAAGGTAGCCTCTCCTCTGTTGCTTAGATTGTTTCTTTGTAGCTCTCCAGACATTTCCCTAGTGCCTGATTTCTCTTAAAACTTATAAATGTCTCCCTCTATTTTGGTATCTCTTATCTTGCTCTCCTCTATTCTTCCCCCAACTCAACCTTCCTGCTCCCTCATGTCCTCCTCACCCCTCCTCTTCTTCCCTTCTCATTCTC